GTAAGTGTCGCCGCCTCTTGTATTCACACGCCCTGCGTTTCTTCCTTTCATCGTGAGTACGTGCACTGCACTCGCAAGGCTAAGTGGGAACCTAATGGCAGTTTCATAAGGTTCCATGACTGTTGATGCTGAACACAGCAATGCACGCGTGACGTGTTTATTCTGTGATTCATGCAAACAGGGAGCATCTTAATGATATATGTTGCTCACGGCTTGCACAGTAATAAACGCACGAAGTTATAACATGTTTCACAACTTATGTACCTCGTCGCACAATTGTGGAAACAAACACTTGATTTCCATCAAACAAATTTTCGATAACCATCTGATATGTTGCTCGAACATTTTTGCAACGTGCCAATCATATTATCATAACAATGATTGCATATATTGGCACTTGGCTTTACAATCTCATTTGTTTGTTTTTCATATTCACATTATTGTTTTTTATGGCTGTTGATAATTGTGATTGTAATATAAATGATCCTGTGATTCTAATTTTTACACCAGCAATGATTACCATAGCAATTATTGTTACTGCTATCACACCTAAACAAAATTGTTATAAAAAAAACTCTTGGAAAGACATTTCTTGAACTCCACACACTTTCGCATTTGGAAAAGCAGCTTAGCCCTTAATCCTCGCCCTCGCTCCCTCCCTCTGAAATAGATCGCAGTGTCCAGCACAGAACCATACTGTTTTTACCCCTTGTGTGTTGCATCCCTTGGAAACTCACTCCCTAAAAAACAGATGCGCCAAGTCTATCAGTTGCAGTTTCGTGGTATTTGAAATTATAATTGTGTGTTAATTTTAGGCTAATGCACTGTTTATAATTTCTGAAAGAGGAGGTGTCACTGGGTGTAATTACGTTATTAGTTGGAATATAGTTATATTATATAGCCTAGTTTTTCTGTGTTCAAATTTCACGTGTGTAAGATGGGAAGTTCATAGAGCGGAGAGTAAGTTTAAAGAAGAATGTATTGTATTGAAGAAGAAAAGAATAGAAGAAAAGAATGAATATAATAAGAATAATTAAAACCCAATTATAGATCACGAAGAGGATGGTTGAGATGAGAATAATAACAAAGATAATAATGTAAAATAAAAAATTCAGCATAGGCAAGTCCAACAAAACAGCCCTAGAGAACTGGATAAACAAAAAGAAAACCAGCGATAAATGAGAAAAGATCTACAGATTCATGTGTTGGAACACTTTTAAGATATTCCACCACCCTGCCACAAACACCCTATATTTTCACAAAACCACTGGCGATCACGTCTTTTTCCCCCGTTACAGTATCTTTTTGTCTTTCTTTTTCCTTCGTGTCTTTAGTCCGGGTTATGCTTTCGCAAAACTGTTATCTGGGACACGTAAGAGATAATGGTGAGAATGACAAGTAAGTTCCACCGTCGTCATTTCCATTCCTGTTGTCTTGCCTTCATCTGTGCTGTCATTTGTTTTTCATTTATATTTATTATCTTTTTTGTGTGTCTCCGATTTTTCTATTTTTATGCCCTTAGAAAATTCTATTTAGGCTTTACTTTCAAGTTTCTGACCCCCAACTACCATCTGAATATTTAATATAGATTATGTTACTAGTTCTTAGTGTGTTGTTTTCGCGCTTTCTTATCCCACCAACTCCGTCATTTTTACTAAAACATAATTTGCAAATATATTATAATCTTAATGAAAACCAACTGATTACTAGTTGTGAACAAAACCAAAGAAATAAGAACGCTACGATAATGTTTATATTACTCTTTATATCTATTCATATCTATCTTTTGTTATTATTATCAATCATCACCTTCATCATCATCATTATCTATCAATTTGTCAATTCATTCAATTATATTATTCATTTTTATGTATATTATTATTATTACTTATTATCATTATTATTATATTTATAAATAATCACTCCTCGTCTCTAAAACACTCCCACCATCTTCAACCAAACCACGTGATTGAACCACAGAACTGCTAACTATTGCAACTAATCTCCTAACAACAAAGACACCCATCCCTCGTTATCCAGAAAACAGCGAGCTCTAAATATCAAACCACCACAATTATAACTTCAAACCACCGACAACTGCAACTGCAACTTCGCGTATCATTAACAATTGCAATTACAACTCAGTGTAGCAAATCAATAAGTACAACTGCAATGCACCATAACCGCAACGCCACCGCATGATTCAGTTGGCATCAACATTACCACATAGTCCATTTACATTGCCTATTTCGACCACACCTCGCACCACAATTACCACCGCTTCGAATTACGACCACCAACGCACCCACTTTACTACTACACCTCGACCACATACAACCTCATGCGCCCCACCATCGAAAAACCAGAACCACAGACCCTATCCTCGGCTCCCCCCTGCGCCCACCAATCCGAACCCCCCCCTCCCACCGACCATGCGGCCGCCGCCCACGTCCTCGGAGAGAGAATCCTTCTCCACATACGTTACTTCTCCCCTGTCGCGGAAAGGAGAGGATCTTACTACTAAATGTCCTCGATGCGTGTACAGGATAAGGATATTAATAATTTTAAGAAACGCTCCTAGGCTTCCCCTCCCTGCGCCCCGCCCCGAAAAAGCGAGGAGGGTTTGTTTACTACTCCTTACGCCGCCTCCCGGGTCCAGATATACGCCCCCAGAGGGAGGGAGAGAGGAGGGGAAACCGCGAGACCCACGAGGCGAAGAGGGAAGAGAGAAGAAGGGAGAAAGAAGAGAATCTTATGATGTCCCGAAGGGGGAAGTGTTAGTTAATTTAATGGGAGAAACCGTTGCCTCCTATAACGCACCGTATGGAGAGGAGAAGGGTGGGAGGGAGACGGGCCGTGATGGTTGCTGAATGAGCCGGAAGGATGTGAGACGTTGAAAGAATGTGGAGGGCGTAAGGGGGGAGATGGTGTGGTGTGAACTGAGAGTGCGCTCGGTTTTTTAAAGGGGCGCGGGCCGACCAGGCATATAGAGGGCTGGCGGAGAATGTGGCAGGGGAAGAAAGATGAGAGAGAGAGGAACGAAAGTGTGTTTACCCGCAAAAGAAAAGGTTCCGAGCACTGAGGGAATTTTTTAGGAAGGAGTGTCGACAAGATTGTCCAGTAATAAGGCGGGGAAGAAGGCCACTTGTTGCATAAATCTTGTACACTGTTACAATACTACATGCCGGTACCGATAACTACACTCCCGTTTCATTACCCGCAAGAAAGGAAGGTAAAAGGCCCCAGTTGTGTACGATGGATCCACCGTCACAACTTTACACACACACCCAACACACAAAACATGTAGGTAAATAGAGGACAGTATGTGGTTTAAAAGAAAGGAGGGGAAATAATTAAAAGAAAAAAAAAAAAAGAAACAATAGAAAATAAAGAGAACCCAGAAAAAAAAAAACGAAGAGAATTCGGATAGGAGTATGCAGCCAACTCCAGTAATAGCCGAAGAGAGAACGGCGCATGTATCATTTATAACATGAGTAAAAGCAATATATGAAGAAGAATCCTTGGGCCGGAGTTCAAATAGAGTGATCTCAAGGCGAACCAATTTTAAAAGAATGAGAACAACGTGCGAAACAATTTGGAGGAAAGGAGAGAAACAACAAACAACAAACAACATTGGAAGGAAAAACATTGAAACGAGGGAAAGAAGAAGCGTTTAAGAGAGCACCGCGGGAACGAAACACTGGCTATAGAGCGCCTACTGGAGGTACACGGAGAAGAGTAACCGCGATTTAACATCAAAAAACAGGATGGGTGAAGGATAGAGAGATTTAAAAGAGTGACCCAAAGAGCCGGAGGAGCGAGAACAAGAAGTGGCGACTGAAGGAGATCCAGAGAGAAGGAAGTCCAGATGGAGAATGAGGGATCAGCGAAGGAGTGACGAGCAGTCACCCGAAACTCTCACCATAGCCCCTGATGTGAAGTTGAGGAGACCGAGAGGCCCGCCATGTTGGAAATTTGGTCAGAGGTTTGGAGGAGAGCGGAAAAGAGAGAGGAGTGGAGGACAGGGAAAGAGAATAAGTAGGAGTGTGATAGCCAGGGCGAGGCGGATGAAGAGGCCGAAAAATAGAGGGGTAGAATTGAGGAAGGAGAAAGAAAAGGAGAGAGGATGGGATGTAGAAAACAGAGGGAGAGGAGGAGGGAGAAAGGAAAAGGAAGGAGAAAGAGGAAGAAAGATTCAAGTGTGCGCGAAGGGAAGTTCAGAGGGAGAAAAAAGTCAAGGAAGTGGTGCGAGGAGAAGAAAATAGATAGGAAAATAGAGGTATAGAGGAGGGATGAGAAGACCCAAGCCAGAGGAAAAAATAAAGAAGAAAACAGTGAGAGAAAAGGGAAAAACCCCAGATGATAGCGGATGATGAGAAAAATGGTGACGGGGAGCGTGTTGAGGTCCGAAAGCCGTGTGAAAGAAAAATTTGCGTGGGAAAGTGAGTAAAGGTCTCGTGTGACTGTGTGAAGAAAAGAGTAAGGGAGGGGAGTGGAGGAAATGGGAAGTCTGTTCTGAATAGTCTGTGAGAACCGGGTAAACTGTTGCCCTAACCCAAAGTGAGAGTCTGTCACCCGTTACCCGATAGAGGATAGTTGCTAACGGATCGTGCGTAATGTAGGATACCCATGAATGCTTCTGGGTGCCTGTTCTGTGATGGCCGTACGAAGCTGCATTGCTGCCTAGATAGGAATTCAAGGAACTGACAAAGTGTGATACGAGTAGCAGAATGCTAGTGAATAGTGAAATGACCAGTATGGGTATATCGTAGAGTAGAAGATACAATTGGATTCGTCAAAACCTAAAGCGGTGCATGTAATGATGTACGTGTAGCCATGATATATGAAATGACTGATAGATAGAAGAGCAGTTATGCTGAGTCTTATAATGGCAGGACGAAATAATAGTCGAGGTAAAGACAAGCATGTTAACTACTTCTCTTAGGGGCTTGGCTCATATGGGGGCCTCCGCGTCATGGCCATACAAGACCTTCCCTTTG